AAGATGTTACCAGCAAACCATCTTGAAGTGAAGAACACGTCTGTTTATTGGCGCTTCATGTCAAAACAAATTGCAACATTTCGTGGCCACACAGGGCCCCCTTCATCAAGGTTGAAATTCAATTTGTAGCCTGATGAAGGGGACCCTGTGTGGCCCGGAAACGTTGCTATTTGTTTTGACATTCAGAGTCAATAAACAGACGTGTTCTTTAAGTCAGTATGGTGTGCTGGTGACATCTTTAACAAGTTGCAGTGATGAAAAAACTTGAGGGAGCAGGATGGAAATGTTTTCTCGAACGAATTAAATTCTACTAGTGATTGTGGTTTTCATTCGGGAAACTCCATTCATTCCAAAACTGAGTGTTGAGATCAAACAAAAGTTCAATCGACATTCCTCAAGTGTCTGACGGCATTATCGGGTGGTAAAGAAAGATCTTTCTTATGAACATTTGTTCGGAAATCTACTAGTGTATGTCCAGCTTAAAACTCAGGGATTCATTTATATATCTCTATCTGCTCTTTGTTATACTCCGCAGGACTACGCACTCTCCGTGATTGGAGTAGAGCCGGTCACTTCGCACTGCCATACTTTATATGTGTGTATTTTTTTTTGGTATGGCAATACTGCTGTTTTTTAAATGCCCATCTCATTGGGTTTTTTTTTGTATATCACTAGTCAAACTGGATACAAAAATGACACCTTTTACTTTTTTTACAATATATAAGAAAAATACATAACTCTCGGAAGATAAAGAAAGCTGTGTTTATCACTAAATATTAGGGATGCACCAATATATTGGCCGCTGAAATATATCGGGCCGAAAATAGCACTTTTGACTATATGCTGAAAGTGCCATTTTTCTGCCGATGTAGCGGCGTATCCCTGCTTTCTCTCCTCCCCGCTGGGCGCTGCTCTGTGTCCCAGCAGGAAGGAGAGAAACTGTCTGCGGGAGGAGAGCGCTGTGAGCGGCCGGCGTCTCTCCTCCCCACACTGCTCAGCCTCTTGTCACAGATCGGCAAAGCGGTGTGTGGATGGAGACAGCCAGTGCTGTCACAGGAGGCTGAGCTATCCTCCCTGCTCCCCTCGCTCAGCCTCCTGTGACAGCGTGTCAGGAAGGAGAGCCAATGCAAACACTCAGCAATCAGTGATCACTGAGTGTTTGTACATAATTGAGGACAGAGTATTGTTACTAGGGATGCACAGATACTTTTCGAGTACCAGTGCCGATACTCGGCATTTTCATGAGAACTACCAGGGTTGCAGTGGTCGCAGCTGGGACCTGGCTCTGGCGCTCCATCTCTGTCCTGAAATCATTAGTCTGTATTTTTTTTTTAAAAACTGTCACATGACAATAAACAAAAATGTATCAGTACTCGTACTTGTAAGTACTCAGCAAGTATCAGTACTTGTATTCGCAAAACTGGTATCTGTGCATCCCTTTATTTCTATTTATAAAAACAAAATCATTCATTAAAACAGAGATGTACAAATCCCAGGAGCTCCGTGTGCTCCTTACAAATGACAGCTGCCTCCTAATTTTTGAATTTTTCTCTAGTGTAGTTTTGGAGTTTTTCCACGCGATTTAGTGCTGAACAGCTTTGAGCTACATTGCGCGATATTGAGCGACAATGCACATTTTATCACGCTACATAGCGCGTTTTTTGGACGGGACTTTGTCGCTGTTACATTGGACTGTTATCAATCAACAGCGATCTTGATGTGACATCATTCTTTCCTTCCATTTTGCAGTTCAAAAGTGACCCTTCTGTAGCGTGATGTCGCGCAATATGGCCGGTTATGCGAGATTTTGCGCGACACCATAGAGTCTATTGGAGCCGAATCGCGCGACATCCGCGCAAAAAAGGGTCATGTACGAGAGACAAGCTACATCGACGAGCTACAGGCAACATTGAGCTGTGAACAGCTCCATTAGAATGCATTGGACAAGCTACATAGAGCGATATCGCAGGGAAATATGCGCGGTTTCGTGGCAGATATCGCGCGATAAACCGATCAGTGTGAATAATAATATTTCCCGAAGCACCCAAAAGTAAAGTAAAAAATAAAAATATTTAATAAAAATAAATAAAAATATAACAAATGTAAAAGTTTATAAAAAATTAAAATAAAATATTTTTAAAAATGTGAAAAGGTTACAAAAAAAACATTTTCAGTTTCGGTTTCGGCCTGACATTTGTTATCCTTTCGGTTTTAAAATTTTAATTTCGGTGCACCTCTACTAAATATGTCTCTTTAGGTCAAATCTAAAAGGAAGCATGCATGGTGTTTGGAAAATGTTATTTTTTTATTGAAGGAGATGCAGCATAGGTGACACATTGAATATTTGTTCTTATTTTATCACCATATCACCAGAATAGACATAAAGAGTTATAAAAGGTAACAGAAGATTTATTGTTTGGAGTTTTGACGGTTGCACTGCATCTGAAAAGCAAAACAACAAACATGCAAGTTGAATTAAATCCAAGCAAAATGCCCACACACGGCTCAATCTGATCATATCATAATAGATTTGATATGCTGACCAGTTCCATGCATGCGCGTCACGTACGCATATGCTCGTGCGCGTACGTGTGCCGCATTTCCCCATTGAAATCAATGTGGCCAGAACATGCGACTAAATATCTGTAAGAATGAAGTCAAGGCAATGTTGCTCCAATCCACCATTCCAATTCACCATATTTATTCCCAGAGAATTTTTGTACAAGCCATTCTAAATTGAGAAAGCTGGTTGGATGACCAGTGAAACGTCTTCAAGAAAAATACAGAAAGTTCAGTTGCCTTGATTTATTTTTTCACAGACATGTGACAAGATGCTCATGAAGCAAATTTTGCAACACGCGTCCGCAAGCGCAGAGCAAAAACGCACGTTTTCCTGGCCGCGTTTGGGGTGCCATTAGAAGTGAATGGCAACACAAGCTGGTTGCACGTTTTGCCGCATTTCTGTGAACACCTGCCAAATTGCACACTTTTGTGCTTGTTTGGTGCGCATTTACGGAATGCGCAGTTGTGCATGTGGGCTCACATTTTTTATTCAGTTCTTTTGGTATGGATGTGTTTGGTCCAAACACAGCACATGTACTTGGGTAGCAATGATGCATCCTTCATTAAAAAAGCTTCAACCACAAGTCAAATGCTAAAGTACCCAAAACCCATCTGGGATGGGTCCCCTAATGCAAACCAGGGTATTTTGCGGCCTGTGGGCCACATCCGGCCCTTTGGCTATACTCAGGGAGGAAAATGTATCAAACCTGGAGCAGACAAAGTATGGAGCAGTTGCCTGTGGCAACCAATCGGCTTCTCTCTTCAGTCTGTTCAGTTAAGATTTGAAAATGAAAGAGAGAAGCCGATTGGTTGCCATGCACAGCTGCTCCAAATTTTGTCTGCTCCAGTTTTGACAAAATCACGGAGCTTATATAAGCTGCCCCGGTCATTACTGAGCATGACCAGCAGAGGGAGTGGGAAGGGGAAGCAGGAAGCACAGAGCTGAACAACGTAGGCTGTCTCCATGGCTACGGGAGCTTCCCAGCTGACGCCTTCCAGATCACGTAACCGGAAGCGGAAGTCGAAGTGTCCGTCTCGGCCATATTGGAAGCGGGGGAGGAAACAGGACAGCGAGGAGGAGAAAAGGGAAGACGGGGTTAGGTGATCCGGGCAGAGAGGTGAGGGGGCAGTTGGGAAGTGCTGTGTGGTAACGCGGAAGGGGGGTGTAGTGGTCAGTACGGTGGGGGAGGAGGTGGACGGACCGGCCTTCTGGGCTTATATCTCCCCCGGCCCTGGAGGAGGGAGGGACTCTGGTGTTTTTTTGGGCACTGACATCCATTGCTGATTGTCCCCCCTCCCCTCCTGGGGGCATCAGAGGTACCACAACACCCAGCATGGCCTGACACCCTCTGTCTGATTGAGGCATGCTGGGACTTTTAGTTCCACAGCTGGCTGGGTGCAGCTGGTTTCCCATTCCTCCCATGTTTATTGTTCTGGCTTTGATCCTGAGTGTCACTTTGGTACCGTCTCCCCCAAAGCTCAGTGTCCCATGATGATGACATAGATGTGTGGACACTATTGACATCCTGTGCAATCCTCTATTTCTGTGTCGTGTGTTTACATTGCACACATACTAGAATGTTCTGTTTATGGGTTACAAATGATAATCATCCTTCTCTTAGTACATGGTACAGATAGAATGTTAACATAGAGCTGAATCTGACCACTCTGATATGTAACGGGACCCCCCCCCCCCCATTACCT